TTTTGTTCCCAAATTCCATCAACCTCAATTTTGGGTAGATTAACTTAGATAACAACTATGAAGCTTGCATACAGATGATCTGGGATAGATTTCTCTTTGATCATTGCTGATAAAACGATAGATTTGCGGTTCATTTCTCTTTTTCTTTGTGTATTCTCTATTGGTTGAGTTTGTATATGTATTTTTTTGGACTCATGTATATTTTTCGCCCTTGGCGTTGTATAAAGCTTGCTTTACAAATCTTTGTCGATTGTTGTCCTGGATTTTCGCTTTGTGCTTAGAGGTTTGAGTTGTTATAGACATATACTGCTTGAATTCTTATCTAGGATGATTATCTAGTAGTGTCTAAATTCTAGAGATAGATTTAGCACTGTTATTCACTTGGGTGTCTGTGATTAATGCTTCTGTTTTGGTTGTGTTGACTAAGAGATTGTTAACGCGAGTAACACGATTGACCTTTTTGTTGTTAAATTTGGTTGATAGATCGTTGCTGAGATGATATAATGGGTGTTGTGTTTGATACTTGATGACATCGATGAGTCTCGTAGGTTGAGTATGACAGGTCGATAAGTTTAAGTTTGTGAATAGTGGGTTATTATGCATGCTTGATAAGTCTTTTCTCCTGAGAATGAATTATTTTCCTGTTGATAACTTTTAATTTTCACATTTACTTTCAACCCATTTAAACCTATACTCATTAACAAGAGATTTGGCGAACGACATTTCAATACACCAACCTCTGTGGATACAATATGATATAACCTAAATATCACCCGATAAAATAATACTTTACTTTTTGCTTGCCGCTTCACCGCTCCAGCAGACTTGCAGAGAAACTGTTTTGGAAATCTCGCATTCTTTGACACCAAGATTTGACAATATTGTAGTGGAGATAGAAGAGTCGGAGGATCTTCTGACATTAAGCAAAGATGAGCTTCAAAGAAACGGTATGGTAATCGGGTTGTCATCCATCAACATTCCAACTGAAATTTATGAAGAGTGTGTGCAAGGGATGCAACACAAGAGTAAATTCAATAAGGATGCAGGTTCAAGCATCACCTTGAGGTGGTGTATTCTGATGTGTGTGGGCCGATGTAAGTTGATATGTGTGGTGGCAATAAGTACTTTGTGGCTTTTAACGATGATTTTAGTATAAAGCTATAAACATACCTAATCAAGAGAAATGATGGGGTATTTTAAGTATTTAAGAAGTTCAAGTCCATGTTTGAGCGGCAAAGCAATCACAATTTCAAAGTTCTCAAAACAGATGGTGGAGGCGAGTATGTCCCAAATGACTTTGGGAAGTATTGTGATGAAGAGGGGATAGGGCATGAGGTAGTACCACCCTATACACCCCAGTAAAACGGTGTTGCCGACAGGAAAAAAATGATCGATTATGAACATGGTGAGAAGCTTGTTAAAAGGGAAGAACTTGCCGAAAGAGCTTTGAGGAGAAGAGATTTCTACAGCTGCCTATTTGTTGAATAGTTGTCCTACAAAGAAGCTTGAGAAGATAACTCCAGAAGAGACATGGTCTGGATTAAACCCGAATATAAACCATTTGAGATTTTTCGGTTCCCTAGCATATCGACATGTTTCGGGTCAACTTAAAAAGAAGTTGGATGACAAGGGTGAGATAATGATACTTGTTTCGTATCACCCTACTGGAGGTTACAAACTGTTTGATATTGAAAAAAAGAGGATCGTGATCAGTTGGGACGTCATAATCGATGAATTGAAGCATGTCAAGCATCATGTGACCGGTTACTAGCATACATTAACCGGTTACATGCATGCATTAACCGGTTACAGGAAAGTAGTAATCGGTTACACTCACGATTTTTTGATTTTTGGACAAACAGAAAGTGCTAAACAGCCGCGCGTCAAAGTGAGAACAGAGGAAAATGTTATACGACCAACTAGGCAAAGAGGTTTGCCTCAAATACTCCAAGATTGTGAGATATTCCGTGATAACGAGATCAATGACGATGGTGATTTCATTCACTTTGTGCTTATGGCCGGATCCGAGCCCATTAACACGGAAGAAGCCTTGAGTGATCCAAAGTGGGTTTGTGCAATGAAATAGGAGATGCAGTCAATTGAGAAAAACAGTACTTGAGATGTGGTTGATCTACCAAAAGATAAGAAGCCAATTGATATAAGATGGGTCTATAAGGTAAAGGCAAATCCTAAAGGTGAGATAATCAAGCATACGGCTCGATTAGTTGCAAAGGGATTCTTTCAAAGAGAAGGCATAGAAGGAATTTGCACTAGTTTCTAGGATAGAATCCATAAGGTTAGTTGTTGGTGTTGTGAGTAGAAACAATTGGTCCATGTATCAAATATATGTGAATTCCACGTTTTTGAACAATCTACTTGAGAAAGAAGTGTATTTAGAACAACCCTATGGTTTTGTGGTGAAGAATCAAGATGGTAGGTTCTACAAGTTGAGAAGAACTCTATATGGTTTGAATCAATCTCTGAGGGCTTGGAACAAATGGATAAATGGTTTCCTAGTTGATGTTGGCTTCAAGAAATGTGTGTCTGAGCATGGAGTTTATGTGAAGACGGGTGCAAGTGAAGGTGTGATCATACTTTTTCTATATGTGGATGATTTACTGATCACGGGCAGCAACGAGAAGAGTATTTATAAGTTCAAGAGTGACCTTATGAAAGAATTCGAGACGAGCAACCTTGGCATTATGACATACTCCCTTGGAATAGAGTTCCACAAGTCAAAAAGGGGATATGAAGCACTATAATGCTGCCATTACACCAGCTGAAATAAGGTTGCAACTGTCCAAGAGTGAAGAGGAGAAGAATGTGGATCCTACTCAATATAGAAGATTGATTGGATCATTACGTTACTTGTGCAATACGAGTCAGATTTGGCATTTAGTGTCAGTATTGCAAGTAGATTCATGGAGAGATCAAAGGTGTCTCACTTGGCAGCAGTCAAGAGAATCCTATACGCCAAACGGTTTATTGGATGCAGAATTCTCTTTCCCACAACAGATATGGGCAGAAAATGCAATTTAATCGGTTTTATCGATGCCAATTGGTGTGGAGATAAAGATGATTGTAAGTTTACAACCTGATACATCTTTATGTTCGGAGGAGCACCAATCTCATGGTGACTGGTAGTTGCACTATCGTCTTGTGAGACTGAGTATATTGTCGCTTCGTTATGTGTGTGCCAAGTCGTATGGCTAATGAATCTATTGGAAGACGAGAGGAGCAAGCACATTGAGATGGGATTTCACCATTTTAAGAAAGTTGTGAGTGAAGGCAAGTTAAGATTAGGATATTGTAGAAGTGAAGACCATGTTGCTGATTTGTTGACTAAGGGAGTCACAAATGATGTGTTCAAGAGGTTGAAGATGAGCATGAGCATGGAAGACTTGAAGCACTTGAATTAAGGTGGTGTGTTAGTTGAACATCGTAATTCAAGTGTTGTAACCGATTAATACAGGGTGATAACCGATTATAGTTAGAAAATAAGCACTTCTAAAACCTAGAAAAGTTGTTTTTAAGTTGTGGTAACTGGTTACGTAAACACGTTAACCGGTGACACCTATGTTGTTTTTGTTCTGTTTGGTTCAGTAGTAATCGGTTAACAGAATGTGTTAACTTGTTACCAGTTTGATTTTTTAACTTTTCAGATTATTAATTATTTGTTTTTATTCCCAAATATTGAATATCACTTGTAAGAATGTCTTGACATGTTTCATCTCTATGTTAATGCAGAAAATAATTATCACTCTCAAACTCTCTCACTATCTTCTTTTCCATAAATACTAAACCTCCAATAAATTTTATGTTCTAACATTTTCAATCAAAGAAGCCACTTTAGATATTTCATCTATCTTAAAGAGTATTAAAGCTCTATCATAGTCGCGCTTAATTTCTAGAACGGGTATAAAACACAATCGTTATTTTTCTGTTTGATGTATGTATAAACCCTTTAAATTGTATCAAAATGATTAATTTCTTTTATAACAGACAGAGTACCCTTTTAAACTCTATTAATTCATTTGCTTATAAAAAAAAATATTAAAACAATTATTTATATAATTTGTTTCATTTTCCACTATATAAAATATGTTATAATTTGGCACCTAGCTAGAAAAGTAGTATAGGCAAATAATTGTACTATAGCAACGTCTCTCTAACTTATTCACGATTGAAGTCGTTGTCAATGATCATGCGCAAAGCATATTATAAATCATAAAAAGATAAATACTATAAAATTTATTTGACCAATAAGGTTATATCTCGTCTCACGTGGCTAACTATTTACCATTCCTTTATACATCTTGGTCGGTTCCATTCCAGCATCTTCCTTTTTCTACCTGCAAACTCAAACTTATAATAACTTCTTCACCAATTCCATTCTATAAAATCAAACCAAACTCAGCTTTCAATTTTCAAACCATCTTCATATTATATTATCATCAAAAGCAAGGTGCATACTCTCTTCCTCATTCTCTTATTCTATTTGCATGATATCAAATAGGTATATTCATGTGTGTTTTAATTTTTTTTTAGATACTATCTTTTCATATCTATATCTAGCTAGGGTTTTATATCTATTAGAATTATCTTTCTCATTTGTATATCCAACTTCAAGTTAATTTCTTATTTTCAAGATTGATTTGTCTCCTATGAGAAATAAGAAGTTATTTCTCATACAAATATATTGTTATGAGTTTTAAATATTTGGTATTCTTAAACTATTTTTTAGGTAAACCTATCACTTTTGTAAGTTAAATCCTTAAAAAAGGGTCAATAATTAATCTAAGCTAGTATTAAGTTTTGAATTTAATTTTCATTTATTTATTAATATTTTTCTCAATCTCAACTTCATACTTTTGTAATTGTTGCAGATACTAGAAGTGACAATTCATAAAAAAGAATTCAAAATTAGAGAGAATATCAACCAAAACAACAAAATTTTGCACTTGGAGGAGACCAACAATAACAACAATGAGAGACAAAAGATGATTGAAATTCCATTAAAACAAGAAGTTCTTCCATCAAAGGATTCAACAAACTCATCATCATCAACAACATCACCATGGTTAAAGCTAAAGGATCCAAGAATTGTGAGAGTGTCAAGAGCCTTTGGAACAAAAGATAGACATAGCAAAGTATATACAATAAAAGGGCTAAGAGATAGAAGGGTAAGACTTTCAATTCAAACAGCAATTCATCTTTACGATCTTCAAGAAAGATTAGGGTTAAGTCAACCTAGCAAAGTTGTTGATTGGTTGCTTAATATAGCTAAGGATGAAATTGATGAGCTTCCACCACTTCCAACACCTCAAGGAAATTTCACCCTAGGCTATCCATCTTTTGTTAGTACTATTTCTAATGAATATGTTGGTCAAAAGAATACTTCTATTTGGAAATCAAATTCAAGACAAGGGTTAGGAGAAATTGTTCCTAACAAACAAAATTGGATAGATAGAAGCGAAAATGAGAGAGAAAAAAAACTGAAGACCGACAATTACGATTGCGTGCAATATATTTTGCCAAATAATATCTCGTCAGATTTTGCGTCTGAGTGTATCTCAAATATGGTTACTTCTAACGGAGGAAATCTTTCAGAAATTTCTCAAAGAAATAATCTTTTACAAAGGGCAAATCAACCTTCTTTCTTAGAATTGTTGAATACCATGCCACTTGGTTACCAATTGGAGCCTTCATCTAATCATGTTCCTCATGAGTTATCAAATTTTGGATTTGTTAACCAAATTAAAGATACAGATGGAATTAATGTTGTACCTTTTCTATCATCATCATCATCATCATCATTATTGTCTTTGTCTACACAACAATATTTACCTTCACATGTTGGCGCAATGGAGGTGATGGAAACAAGACAAATCAATTACAACTATGAACAAATGATGAATTCAAGTTTTCTCAATGCAACTCAACTATGATCTTGCATGGATGGTGATTAAGATTGTGAGAAGTTCATAATTTGTTTCAGCATATGTATTCCCTCTGACCATTATTATAAGTAAATATTCTCTTTTTAGGTTGATTGAATAATGAATGTATCTGGTCTTTTATGTAGACTAGATACATTTATTACTCAATAAATCTAAAATAGAATCTTTGCTTATAAATAAAATCGGAGGGAGTATATTTTTTGTTATGGTGATTTTTAATTAAATAGTCATTCCTTTTTGTTATAATTAATATAAATGGTTTCATATGTGTAACTTCAATTTTCCATCCAATTTAATAATCTATAGACAGATATAAAGGAACAACGTTATTTTTCTAGTGTAGGAGCTTTTTTTGAACTGATAATGACTTTTTCAACTTAAGATAATGCATGCTCAGATAGGTTAACTTTATTCTCTACATTGAGTTCACATTTAAGTCATACTACTAAGAAAAACATGCCACTAACGACCAAGTTATGGGATTCCTTACAAGTACAACCAAGTGAGGCAATTGAGACCGTGTAGTGTTAATGTAAGAGTGATATGTCAACAGATGTCTCATAAGTCTGCCGACCAATTTGAGTTCACATTCAAAAAGCTATATAGTTCACATAAATTCTAACTCAGTGACTCAAGATACCACTAGCTGATGTTGTTGACCATGTCATTTTCCCCCATACACCAGAGTGTTAAAATAGTAGTTCTTTGTGTCGAAATAGATTTGTTCGACAGATATAAGAGTGTGTTGAAATTAATTTAGTGAGTGTGTGTCAAAATGTTGAAGTTGGTTTGCTCGAAAGGAGTTTGATTTAGACCTATTTTAGTAGTGTTAGCTGAATTAGATATTTTGAACTTTTATAGTTTCGAGCTTTGGTTTAGGGAGCAAGCTAACCTAAAACTATAAATAGAGGGAGTAACCCCTATTTTATAAAATAGTGATTAATATTGCAGTTTGAATAATAAAGAGCATAGAGTTTTGCTTTGCAGAATTCACAAAGTCTTCTTCTTCCTTTGTTTCAAACCCTAACTTCTTCTTCTTTCCCAATTATCTTTTCTTTTCTTCTCCATTGTTAATTGCTGCAAAGAATCATCTTGCAATTAAGGTTGGTTGAATCACTTGAGTGAAGAGTAAAGAACAAGAGATTTTTATCGGATTGATTGAATCTTGTTCATCAAGATTGATTCAGAATTACTCAAAGTTTTGGGTTTAACTCTAACATTTAGTATCTAGAGCTCTGACCGAGCGATTTGAGGCAGGCAATAACGATGGCAGTGAATCATCCAAACGGATATTTTTGAGTGAGTCTTCCGATTCTGAAGAGTCAGAATTATGAGAATTGGTGCAAGCAGATGAAGGTGTTTTTCTGTTATCAAGATATTTAGGATCTTGTGAATGAAGGTGTATCACCGTTTGTAGAAGAAGCGACGGATGAAGAAAGTGTGGCACACATGATTGAAAAAGAAAGATTATAGACCTCTCTTTATAATTCATCAATGTGTTGATTCAGACAATTTGGAGAAGTTGGGTGATGTTGAATCAACAAAGGAAGCATGAGACATTCTGGAAAAAATCGTTTGGAGGCGTTGATAATGTGAAAGAGGTGTGATTACAAACTCATAAAAGAAGGTGTGAATTGCTTCAGATGGAAGAAAGTGAAAGCATAACTGATTTCTTCACTAGGGTTACGAAGCTGGTGAATCAAATCAAAATATGTGGAGAAGCATCGACGTCAAGATCAATTGTCGCAAAGATCTTGAGGTATTTGGCTCCAAAGTTCGACCACATGGTGGTTGTCAAAGAAGAGTCAAAAATTTGTCGACAATGACAATGCAAGAGCTTCAAGGGACACTTGAATCTCAGGAACAAAGAATGACTGAAAGAGTTGCAGGGAAGTCAAATAGTGACATTGCTTTGCAAGCTCAATCAACAAGAGAAAAGAAAGGAAAATGAAAGTAGTTCGACAATAAAGGTAAAAGAGGCTACAACAATTCGACTTGTCAAAACCAGTAAGATGGAAATTCATCGAACCAGAGAAAGCCATCATACCAAAGCAACCAAAGAAGTGGTGTTGTAGGTAAAAGAAAAGGTTGTGGTTGAATACCTGGCAAAAGTCACATTCAATGTTTCAATTGTTAGAAGTATGGTCACTACTCTAGATATTATCCAGGAAACAAAAGAATCAAGAAAGTGATGCAAAGTTTGAAAAATATGAAGAAAAAAAGATGATGTTGATGGTCACAACAAGAGATGAAGAGAGATTCAAGGACCAATGATACTTGGAATCAGGATGCTCATCACACATGTTTGGTTTGTCAACATAAAACCCTTAATGAAGAACATGGTGAAATTTGAAAATAAAACTACTCTAGCAGCTGAAGGTATTGGTGATGTTCAAATTATGAGGAAAGATGACAAAAGGTCAATAATTTCAAATATATTGTATATTCCAGACATGAAAAGTAATTTGCTCAACATATAGAAGTTGGTCGAAAGGAACTACAAGGTGTAGATTAAAGATAAGTTTATGAGAGTTCTCGACTCAAGCGGAAGGTTAATCTTGAAGGCTCATATGTCTTAGAAATAAAACCTTCAAGATTGATCTTAATGTGATGGAGCACAAGTGTCCTGCGACTGTAGCTAGTAGGGGGAGTGGATATGGCATTACCGACTAGGCCATCTCAACTTGAAAGATATCAGAGATTTGAAAAGAAGAAACATGGTTTCAGGATTTCCAGAAATCAACATTCAAAACGAAGTGTGTGAGGAATGTATGCAGGCGAAGTAACACAATAATAACTTCAACAAGGATGCATGAATCAAGTCAAAATATATTCTTGAAATCATATACTTTAACGTATGTGGTCATATCTAGGTGGATTTGATTGGAGGTAATAAATACTTTGTCGCATTCGTAGATGGTTTCAGTAAAAAAATATGGACTTACCTGATCAAGAAGAAAAGTGAAGTGATTAAGGTATTTGCCAAGTTTAAGTATATGGTCGAAAGACAAAGTGGTTGAAAGCTCAAGACTCTGAGGACTGGTGGTGGTGGAGAATATGTGTTGAAAGACTTCGACATGTTATGTGAGAAAGAAAGGATTGTGTGTGAAGTGGTTCCACCCTAAACTCCATAACAAAATGGAACTCCTGAAAGGAATAATAGAACCATCATGAACATGGTGAGAAGTATGTTGAAAGGTAAGCATTTACCTAAATAATTTTTGGATGAAGTTGTGTCGACTATAACATACATCCTGAACAGATGTCCGACAGAGAAGCTAGAAGGAATCACGCTAGAAAAATATTGGTATGGTGTCAAGTCTAGCTTGAGTCATCTGAAAGTATTTTAATCTATAACACATAGACATGTGCCAGATCAGTTGAGAATAAAACTTGATAACAAGTTGAGTCAAATGATCCTAATAGTATATCATTCCAATGATGGATACATGTTGTTCAACCCAGTGAACAAGAAAGTAGTGATCAACAGGAACATGATCATAGATGAGCTTAAGGAATGAGATTGGACTGAAAATTTTAAGAAAGATTCAGTGAGAATCTTTTGTGAAGAACCAACCACTTAAGTTGAAAGAGAAGAAGTTCAACTGGAAAAAGTCAAGGGTGAAGCCGGCCCAAGCAGAGCTCAAACCACGAGATGCATGCCTGCAAGGTTGTATGGATGTGTGATTATATCAGATGATGTGGTCGATAATGAAGGTGAGCTGGTATACTATGATTTCTATGCAGATATCGAACCAGGCAATGCAACTGAGGTATTGAAAGATTCGAAGTGGATGAAAGCAATGAATGAGGAACTCAAGTCCATCGAAGTCAACAAAACTTGGTCAGTTGTCGAATTACCCCAAGGAAAGAAGGCAATCAATGTGAAGTGAGTATACAACGTAAAATGGTATCCCAAAGGAAAGGTAACTTGACACAAGGCTAGACTTGTGGATAAAGGATTTTTTCAAAAATAAGGAATTGACTTCAATGAAGATTTTGCACCTGTTTTTAGAATTGAAATAACCAGGTTGGTTATTGGTCTGGCGAACATGAACAATTGGCACATGTGTCAGATGGATGTGAAATGTGCATTCCTGAATGACCCCTTAGAAGAAGAAGTTTATGTTGCACAACTAGTTGGTTTTGTGAAACAAGGAGAAGAAAGAAAGGTGTAAATATTGCATAAAGCCCTGTATGGACTCAAACAAGCTCCAAGAGCTTGGAATAAGAAGATTGATAGTTTCCTAAGGGATAAGGAATTTGTGAAGTGCACAACTGAGCATGAAGTATATGTAAGAACAAGCAATAGTGAATTTCTTATATTATGTCTCTATGTGGATGACTTGTTGATAACATGTAACTTCAAGAAAGAAATTGAAGACTTCAAAGGTGATCTTAGCAAGGAATTTGAAATGTCTGATCTGTGCGACATTTCATACTTTCTTGGCATCGGATTCTACAAGAGTAGTTGGTAGTTGATGCTGCCTCAAAGAAGATATGCGATAAGTGCAAAAGTGTAGTTATTTTGTATATACCTTTTGTTGCACTTATCGACTTCTTGTTGTTAATATCGTTGAATAAACCCGACTTTTGTGTAAATACGTTTACTTTGTGTATAATGCGTTTTCTTGTATAAAGTGTATCATTTGATAGTTTTGTATTTATTTTGTAGGTATTTGAGCATTGTTTGAGCAATAGGAATATAGCTCTAAGATGTATTTTTGGGTCAATAAAGGAATAAGGTCAAGATTGGAGTTATAATAAGTTATACAGAAAAAGAAACAAAAGTTGCTTTCCTGTCATGCATCGCCGAGTGAAAGGGAGCGTCGCTGGGAGAAATTTTGAAGTCCAATTTTGATGAATTCCCTGCCTTGCTTTGCTGCTGCGTCGCCATGCGAAAATAAACAGAGTCGTTGGGCGATGAATTGTGATCGTCAAGCGATGGAAGATTTTGCTTCAGTTGAGGACGTGGCGCAGTCTAGGCC